AATAATAATAATAATAATAATAATAATAATAATAATAATAATAATAATAATAATAATAATAATAATAATAATAGCAATTGGACTAACGATTTAAATCGCAAAATTTGTGTATTCTGTTAAATAAATCCATTTAGTTTAATTTAAACATGGCCCTTATTTTTAGCAAAATTTGAAAAGTATTATTAGAAATACTAGGAATGCCCAATGGGTTGTTTAAGAGGAACACAATCATTAATTCGACTATTTTTTATTTTTATTAAAGTTTTTTTTTGGTGTCTTTATTCTAACATGTTGGGTTAAAAGTTTGGAAAGGATTATGGGAAGAAAACGACTATTTTTATTCAAAAAATTATAATTATTAACGAAAAATCTTTTGATGGTACAAGAAACATGACAATTAAATCTGAAGAATGGAAAAAAAAATGATATTAATTGATGATTTTTTAGCTCGTTTTTTCACCTCTGCTTTTTATTTACGAAAATGATATTTTATTTTTTGATGGAATTGAGTTAAAATTTACGCGTTGCAAAAAAAATATTTGAAAATTTTCCAAATTCACGAAAAAAAAATTTTTTGTATGATTCTCTGTTTTGACCAACTGATATTACATTTGTGACCATCATTGAAAATGGTATTTGTATAATAAAAAAATCAGGTGCGATGAATGATGAATCCAGAAAGTTTAAGATATGCAGGTAAAAGTCGAAATTCAAAATAATGGTTCAGCTTGACACAGTGTAATAAATTGGCTTGGTGAGATCTAGAAGCGAGTGCATTTATCTAAAAGCAAAGTATGTCAAATTTACTATCAAGTCATGATATTACAATAATGATATATTTTGAATTCCGACGAGTCGCCTAATGAAACAGCATCAGCATTAAATACAATGATGGTGATGCAAGCAAGTATTAAAAAACCACCACCATCTCATGTTACAAGTGAGCATTCATTAAATGGGTATATCCACTCTGTTCAAATTGCAGGTCATTCTTTTCATACTTGAGAGAAAATTTTTATTGACATTTAAATTTGGTGTTAAAAATAGAAATAATAGTTTGAACGGCCTAAGTATAATATACACATAAATAAATTCACAGTTTAGTAGTTTATTATAAAAAAAAAGGGAAATAGTAAATACAAGAAATAAGTAACTTTTACAATCACAATAAAAACATCGTTTATTGAAATGTTTATAATAGAAAGAAAAAGACTGACGTTAAATTCAACAAAATCACCATTGTGGCATATCGATTTGCGCCTTTTCACACAATTTCATTATTGTTTCTTTCATTTCCCTAATTACTCTATCCTTTTCATTTTCATCCTTTTGACTTTTATGCATTAGCTTTTTTTCAACCTTTTTTTCTTCATCCTTGTTTAATTCGTAACCTATGAAATAGCGCAGTAGACATTGAGTGAATGTTGTTGAAGTAGCCAGAAAGTCACCAGGTGCTGCTTCCTTCTCTGTAAAAAAGGACACATTTCTTGTTAAAGAAAGAACCAGTATAAACACGCATGCTTTGACAAAGTAAAAATTGATTGGCCATTTTAACACAATAAATAATGTTTGCAGAATATTCGGGAGATAAAAACATCCAAGAATAAATAAATTATCAATTGTTGTATCAGGTATTGGATCTGGTATCTCTGAATTACAAGACCCAAGACAAAGTATTATTAAAAAAAGGAATGCTGTAGCTAACAATATCACAAATAATGTAAGGAAGGTTATACTGAGTGGATCAAAAAGATGTCTAGTTGTAATAATAACAGTCCAGAATGTTGGAATGACTATAGCTGGGAAAAATAACAAGAAAATAAAGATTAAATCAAAAGCCATGGAAGTTTGCTGAAAATCAACGTTTTTAACTCTTCCATTCTTAATTATCGCTCCTGCTGCACAAACTACATGCAAACCCATGTTTACAAATGAAAATATCTTTATGCTCAGCAAATCATCATAGGCCAAAGAAACTGCCAGCGGAATCACCCAAGTGACTGTGTTGTATAATATGTCATCCAGTAATGGCAACAGTATATTTTTGATGGGCCCAGTTTTCCCTGAAATATTGAATAAAATGACAAAAAATATCGGAAAGAATGTGTTGAGAATTGCATCATACACATCCTGTTCAGATCTATAATCTTCATCAACGATGGACGCATTCACAAGTTGAAGAAGTGAAAATAAAATGATTTTCCATAAGATAAATTTCAAGAAACTTGATTTCATTTTCTTTCTAGGAATAGAGAAAATAATATGATAAAGTTTTTCCTATATTGATATTTATAAACAACCAATAGTATTAATTAGTATATATTAATGTGTAACTCCGAAATTATTTTCTTATTTATGTAACTATTATGCATAGGGATGGGCAAAATGCGAAATCCTTAGTTTATTGTGCACATAATGCGCATTATGTGCATTATGTGCATAGTACATTATTAATGATTTTTTTAAAAAACATCCACCATAAAATTATCTTCATGGTTTTAGCTTAGATGTAATAAAATATATGTTTATTGTATTTATTGTTGTGATTAGAATACAAAATTTTATTATGAAAATTTATTATTTTACTAACTTAGTAAGTTACATCAGGATCATAAAAATCATCAGATTCTTGATTTCCTTTTTCATTTTCACTACTACCCTTGGAGAGTTGTTATACTTACTCTCGAACAAATTTTAAAATGCGCAACACATTTACCAGCAGCAGCATTTATTTCATAATTACAATATTTGCATTGTGCGTGAGATTGCTGAAAGCCTGATACTTGACCAAATGAATCCAAATGGGATTGGCTGGCGGCATTTAAAATTTTTATTTACATTTATTATTTATATCAATGTAATACAAAAATTAATTTTTGGCACGTAACACTGATTTATCTAAATTTCATTGGATAAACTAGATGAATGCTTTATGACAGTGACTTTGTCACTAGTGTCACTTGTTATTTACTGTTTAAAGTCTCTATTCAAATAAAAGTTACTATTTGAAGAAAAATTTCTGGCCTTCGGCAAATTTAATCACCAATAAAATAATAAATAATATTGTCCTTATCTTTGTCCTTGTTGTTGACTTGAATATTGTATTTTCGTAATGATAATAAATAAATCTATCCCTAACAATGAATCCATACCAAATCCCATACATAATCATTTTTTCTCTTATTTTTATATTTGTCCATTTTTTTTATTTCTTCTCTTTTCTTTTAGTGAGGTGATATTTAATGAATTTTATTTAGTAGCTTTGGGAACACACCTGACTTGAGTATGGAACAACAGCTAAGGAGGGCACCCACTAAGAAACGTGATCAGTAATGTAAAATCTAAAAAGGATATTGTTTAGTACAAGGAATTGTTTAATGATGGTGAAAGATAGTTTTGGGAGTAAAAAAATGCCAGAAATTGTTGTTACGATTTAGTATAAATAAATGATATTTAGATTAGTAAAAAAAGTAGTTAATTTTTAATTTTTTGAAATTAAAAAAATCCCACTTGCTTAACAATAATTTTTTTAAAAAAAAACGAAGGAAACAATTTTTTAATTTTTTAATTAAAAATCCCATTTGCGTAACAATTTTTTGTTAAGAATAAAAGATATTTATTACTAATAAAAAGAATTATTAAATTTCCCACTTGCGTAACGAAAAAATGAAGAATTGTTAATTTCCCGCTTGCGTAACAATAATTTTTTTAAACAAATTTTTGCCTCCAGCGAATGAAAAATGAAAAAACAACTGATTTTTGTTTTTTACCTTCAGAGAAATGAAAAAACTGATTGATTTTTTGCAATCTGCATGCTATAATTAAAATATTTCTCAGATAATAACGTATAGTTAAAAAAAATTATTGGCAGGAGAATTTTTATAGTTGATCTACAACAAAACGATTACTTTTGTTTTCAATTCAACACCAAAATTTTACAAAAAATTCCTTCCCAAAAAAATATTTTAGTTCTAACAGATGCATTAATTCGAATTCAATTCCGAATCCAATTCAATTCCGAATCCAATTCTAAATTCAGAATTCTTATCCATATTCATTAAAATTGAACCGCGTTTTTTATTTTTGTTGATGCTTTATTAACATAAAAAATTACACAATTTTTGATATATGAGGCAAATGATAAACGTATTAACCCTTTTTATTGAAAAATTCGATAAATATGGAAGGTTACATGCATCAAAACTATTAGCCCGAAATTTATTATATGTTAAAATTATATGTTAATGTAGCGTAGGTTTTGATTTCTTTAAAAAAAATGTAGATCAATACCCACAATTTAAAAAAAATGTTTCAGTAAAATGTTTCGTAAATTTTCATATTAATAAATAAATATTGTTCAATTCAATAAATATTTATATTTAAATAATAAATATGCCAAAAGAAATTAAACAAAAAACTAAACTTATCGAAAAAGAGAAATTTTTATTCTTTTGTTATTTCTTTTTTTTTTAATAATACTAATTCATGAATATTGAAATCATGAAATTTCAAAACAAGAATCCAAAAGAAGAATTTGAAAATTTTATTCGTAATTTAATTTAAATAATGAATATTATTACACCAGCTAAAGTCGTTTTTCCTTTTCCTTTTCTACCAAATTTCAGGTTTTTCATCTGCGTTAAATATAATTTCGATGTAACAGAACTTCATTGCCTTTTTTTTTTTGATACAAATTAGAACAAATAAACGTATGAGATTACAAATGCATACTAATTCAAGTTTAATCCTGCATTAGTCAAATTGGAAAACAAACATTTTATTTATAAATTTTCCCAATGAGATACACTTTCAACTTAAAAATGACCTTTAGGATTGATTCTGGATTTTGTAGAATGCAAAATGATATTTAAAATAAAAAACAAAAAAAAAAAAGACACTTTATGAAATAATACAACGGTTTACCTCTAAATCATTTATGGACTTTTGTACAAGTGCATAAATAGATAGGCTAATGATCTTTTACTTTGATTCTATTCTACGACTTGTTTAGTATGACGTGTTATTGGTGACCTTTTTTTCATGATTCAACAAGAAAATTCAACATTTTCAGAATCATATCTTGATAATTTTTTCACACTCATCATTTCAAACTTAATAAAATTTGTTTTAATGATATTCAAAACCACCTTTATCAAAGGAACTGATTGTAAATTCCAATTTCTAGATCAGGAAATCTTCCATTCGTAGCAAATGGGAATAATTTTAAAAAACGAATTTATTACATATTAATTCTATACTATATACTTTGTGAATAAAAAATTTTATTTTTATTTTCTCTTTTTAGTATCTCTTATCTTATCATTGTTAATATTGTTGTTATAATTAATATTGTCATTGTTATTAATATTGTTATTGTTATTAATATTGTTTAAAAGGTATATTTAAAGCTTGCTTGTTAAAATATTTTTCAATCAAATTGATAAATATTAAAAATATGCCAAAAGAAAAGAAAAGAAAAACTGACGAAAATATGAATATTGAAAAAAAGAAAAGAAAAACCGACGAAAATATGAATATTGAAGGGAAGGATAAGAAGATTAACATTGAGGATTATTTGATTCCAATTAATGAAATTGATATTGATGATGAAAATTTGAATGTAAAAATAAAAGAAGGATTGAAAAATGTAATTAGATTTTGTCTTCATTATAGAATTAAGAAAAATTCTAGGATCGTTGAAAAATATTCATATTATTTGGAAAAAACTGAAACTGCAACAGATAGCAACCATTACATCATTGTTTTTGTTGCAATGAGGTATTATAGAGAAGAACCAGAAAAACGTGATACTTACATGGACAAACCTTATCTTAAAAGTGTGTTGAATAACCTTAATGAAGCTTATCACGAAATTGCAAAACAAGAATCGTATAGAATGAATTACAAACTTGATAAGAATTTAAATGATAGAGTTAATTCAATAATTGATAAATTCAATCAGCGTATGAAACTTTGCAGATAAAGTTGAAGGCCATCTTGCTCTTTTCTTTTCTCGATTTCCTATTTTTATAATAAAATTTTTTTAAATGCAAATTAATAATAATAATTACTCGAGTGTATTAAACATGATTACCATTAGTATTTGAGACTTTTCATAATAACTCTTAATTTTTTATAATCATCCTTAATTTGTTGATATTGTTTTTTTTTCAAATAAATTTTTTTTTCATTGATTCAAATAAATCGAAAGTTCTTCAATTTTCACTAAACGTTTCAAGTGATCTTTTTTATAATGAATATTTGAAATTATGTCGCAGTTCGATGATTTCTTTTGTTATATATATGTCCAGATTTTCTTCCATTAAACCGTCATATGTATAGACTTTTTGTGATTTTTAAATTTAATAAATATCATATTCATTGTTATTTTTCTCCTTTTAAGTTTACTAAATTGCTTGTAGGAACGTCTCCACTTATACAAAATAGTGAAAATGATTTTGCAAAGATTCCATTTTTTAATTAGAGTATATGAAATTTGTATATAACAAGAGAATATTGATAAAACTCACTTATAAAAGCAATAAATCCATAACTTTGATACACTGTCCTGTTTTCTTTAAAAGAAATTAAGGCTTTTAATCATGTTTTCTTCCTCCAGATCTAAAGAACGAAGAATTTCTCTCACAAAGAAAATGTATTAGTATGTACCATGAGGTTGCAACGATGGAATTTCACGTTTAGGTACAGCATAAAAAATTAAATTGTCACCGAATATTATCATAAGTTGGACATGTATTCTTATCTAAATATTCACTTAAGTTTTTTTTAATTGCTTGGGATTCCTGCTTCTGATTTGCTCAGCTTCATTTATTAAAAAAAAAAATGTTTAAATTACCCTCGCTTGAATGCCATCATTCTCATTCTGTTGTAACATAATCAATCTCCCAAAAAAATTTCGCAAAATCTAATAATCTAATATCTTTCGTTCTCTTTTCTTAATTGTTAATTATGTGAAAACATCCATGAATACCTCTTTTTATTGTAATTAATACCATTTATAATTTGAAGTTTATGATTATAGATAATCTGCAAAAAAATTTAGAAAACACACATTTTTTATTGGAGGTTTATCATAATGTCTGCTGTTAAAGGAAAAAAATATTGAATTAGTAGACCTTTGTAGGATATAGTGAATATTTTTTTATTCACTAAATAGTTGTTGAGTTGTTATGTATCAGTATTAAAAATGGAGAAATTGAAAGCACGTCATTGCGAAAGTTGCCAGTAGGTAACCAGATACAATGTTATGATGGACGATCTGCCGTGAACGTTCTTTCTCCATCCGAAAAGCTGACCGATCAGGTGTTGGAGCCTGAGGTGAATAGGATACATGAAAGCACATCGTGACTACGGCTTGTGAAAGTTTCCGGTTAGGTTATCAGACTTAACGTATAGTGACAACGTTCATCAACGTTTATTTTGCTTCTTGAAGATGATGATACAAATACTTACTTTTATTTATTTTTTTCTTATAATTTATAGGCATTCGGTATTAATTAAATCGGTGATTTTTCTACATTTGTGGATGCAAAGTAAATATATTATAAATTCACTAAATAAATAGTTGGCGAATTTGAAGATGTTATTAACTAGTTTTAATTATGAGGCTTGAATTCTAATTCCCTTTATAAGTAGAAGAAAAACAAACAATTTTACGAAACAATCACAGGTTTTCACTTGTCATTATTCAAGGTAAAAAAATTTTTTTAAAGGTTTGAAAGTATTGTCAGCAGTTTGGTTCGTGTGAGGTGCTTTTTTTCCATTAAAAAATTACAATTAAATTAGTTAAATTTGAAAAGATGTTTATTTTTATACAGTATTTGTATTTATTATTTTGTTATGGCGAAATTCAATCGAAACTTGCATTGGTTTTTTAAATCAAAATATTCTTGGCGAAATTGAAAATCTGAAAGATCACCAGAAGTTGTATAACAACATTTGTCTTTTTTAAAAAAATTATTAAAATACTTCTTTATTTGCCTTGTTAGGAAAAAACCATACTATTTTTTAAAAGATTAACTTTTAATTTCGATTTCGATTTCATGTTATTGTATTAACCAATTGTATACTTATTACTTATTTGTAATGTACCTTTGTGATCGATCTGTTTTCTTGAATAAGATCGATTTTCACTAATAAATCATTACTAATTATTCAATATATAACGAATTCTAAGATTTATGTACATTCAAAGTAGTTCTCTCGAATAAAATAATAGTTATTAATAGAGATGTGCCATTCATAGTAACCCTGATTTTTTTTCGCGCACATAATGCATATAGTGTATTAGTATTATCCCTTAAACGGTTTTTCGGCTATTGATAGCCGAAATTTTTTTTCTGTTATAAAAAACTTTTTCTGAAGGTA